GAACCACGCAAGAGATCAATCAAAAGGATTATGGTAGCTACATTGAATTTTCTCATTCAATGGTAGCTACCAACACATACATCAAGGAGAACCTGGAAGAATTCTACCCACAATTGATAAGGAACGTATAAAGTATAAGGTATAGAGTACAAGGTACAATGTGCAGTGCAAGGTACAAAGTGCAAGGTACAAGGTGCAAAGTACAAGGTGCAAATTACAAGGTGCATAGTACAAGATACAAGGTACAAGGTGCAAGGTGCAAGGTACAAGGTGCAAGGTACAAGGTACAAGGTACAAAGTACAAGGTACAAAGTGCAAGGTACAAGGCACAACGTACAAGGGACAAAGTACAAGGTGGAAGGTACAAGGTACAAAGCTAAGAGGCGTTTTTGAAAAAAATATAGAAGTCTGGGGATATGGTGTACCACCAGGAAAAGCAATAATTTATCCCCCAGGAAATGAGGAGAGATTGGGAGCGGAGAGGTATTCTGTACCACCTTGTTCTTTCTCAGACCTAAACATTACCTTCAAAAATTATGATGAATGTACTAAGAGATGTTTTGTGGAATAATGGAATAATTCATGTGTCAGGATAACAGAGACAAAAAGGCGGCGGGTAGCATGTAATTGCAGAAGCTCGTACGTATTATGTTCTCTCCCGATAGAAGTTTCTCTTTGGAGACTTGTATTAGGATTGCAGAAATGTAAAAAACCTCGCTCGACATTAATATTCCTTTTCGAATTCTTGTTTCCGGATAACGGAAACACAGGCAGGTGTAGCATCATCTTCTGATCGCAATCTCTTTGAGAAATACTACCAGGGGCGCAGAAATGCCTATTTTGCAAACAGCTTTCCACTGACAAATCCTACAGGAATGAAAAAAAGGTGCAAAATTCGTTCATATATTTTCTTGGTATCAAATTCTGTCCCAAGTTGTGTAGCAGGACTACATGAACGTAAAGAGTAAATATTCCTTTGGTTGCGTCTTGAGAAAATTCTTACTATAAAGATAGTATCGGCATCAGAGAACATGCAGCAGGTGACAGTGCTTCATACTCAAAATACATATACTTGTTTATATGTTCTCCTGGTACATATTTCTAATTGAAGAATTATGGTCCCAAAAAAACGCAAGTAGGTGCAAATAGTTATTAATAGATAAACCATGTTCATTATTCTAACTTTCGTTACAGAGGCAAATGCCACCTCCTACACTGCTTCATAAACAAGGTTTTTCCTGTCGGTCCCTTCAGGTTTTATGTTGTCCTAATAGCATTTCTGCGTTTTAATATTGTAACAGGACTATATGTACAAAAGGAACGACGACATTTAGGAATTTCACTAACTCACCTCTTCGTGTTTTATGTTTTCTAAATGCAACAAATGTTAACAGGATTACATGCTTGCAAGAAGGCGTATTTATGACATAATTTCTTGACGAGCAGTCTTAGCTATGGGCTTTAATTTACTTTCTTTTATTAAGATCACTAAAAAACAAAGTTTCTCTCAAGTAGCGACTCCAAATCTGTGTGCTAAGGTACATATTCTCTTAAAATGTATCTAGGTAAGACCTTCGGCCCAATTATGTTCTCTTTACATTTTCTTTGTCAGGATAACAGATACCCAAGGAGATACAGCTAGTATTAGTGAACACCGTGTGATTTTGGTTACATTACACGTATTTTTTATATTTTTGTATAAGGATAACAGAAAATCAGACACATTCTGACTTATTCTGCTCTCTTTATGCAAATATTTTGTTCATGTACAGGGTGTCCCATTTTCGACACGTTAACAGGATATGACAATCGTCAGTGCTATCCAAAAAAGTAAAATAGGCGCTATGCGCTCTTTCTTGAAATGGTAAAATCAAAAAATCGCTTAAGAGTACGGGGGGGGAAAAAAAATGTCAATTTCAGAATAACACGTACCATATTTTCTTAGTTATTGGATTCAACAATCCTTATAAAGAAAGATTTACACATTATTATGTGTGGTTTTCAAAGTAAGTATACGGGGTCGGGTAAAAAAGTTATCGGACGTAACCTCATTTTTTAAATGGAACACCTTGTACATATACATATGGTAGAAATTGTGGAAAATTCAATATTGATTCAAAAAGATTTTGATTTGAAATTTTGTATTTTTTGAACCATTTGAGTCTTTTTGAATTTTTATCTGGATATTTTTTAAATTTTTTCGAATCTGTTATCACCCCTAGTCGGTTATATTTTTGAAAAAAGAATTTAATATGCTATTTTTTTTTTTTTATTAGAATATACAGAGTGTTTCGTTCAAAAATGAGATTAGGTCCGATAACTTTTTTACCTGACCCGGTATACTTATTTTGAACAACATTCATTTTTCATAATCAGGTTTTTGTGAATTCAATTGTTAGAAAAATACATACGTTTAAGCTAGCGATGACAAGGAGAATAATTTAGTTTTCATTTTAATTTATAAACAAAATATGTCAAAATATATAATTTACTCGCCAATTCTAAAAATAATTGGAAAATTTAAATGACAGACCTTCTGCAAAATGTTAATAAAAAAAGGTAGCAGCAATTCGAAAAATTGGATGGTGGAACGCCTTAATCTTTTGTATCGCCTTATAAATCGGAAGGTGAATTGTGAAAGATGGTTGACAATTTGATTCAGGAACAAGCTTGGCTTCAGGTTTCTCGAAATTTAGTTTAATCGTTGATATAATTTACCAGTGTTTCGCAGTATGGAAATGTCAGTTTGACCCTTGTATACTAGGGTTTTGACAGCTAACAAAAGCACTAATTAATCGTCTTTATCCTTTTTACCGGTTGCCGTTTAACGCAGCATTTTATTATCGCCAAACATAAACAAGAGAGCCGGACAAATTTAGTTAGCAACTAACCACAAGTATAAACGCAATGAACGTTCTGTACTTTTGACCCCAATGCTTTCGTGGAAAAATGTATTTAACAGCGATCACGCTGGTTAAATAACCAAAACGGAAAATTCGCTCACGTATTACGACGAAGGACATTCACGGTTAAAAATATATCAGTCGATTTCTCTACACAACGAAGTTCCTCTTTTGCATAAATACGCAAGTTTTACTCGTAAAGGTAATTCGAAAAGAATTTAAAGGCACACACGACAACAATTTCGTCGAATTGGCGGCACAGCTTTCTTTTGCAATATGATAACCTAATTCCACCGTTTTGAACTACTTCTAGAGAAATGGTCCTAGAGTCCTGGAATTTTTGCAGTAGGTAGCCTACACCTTGAAGGTGTGCCAGATGGCCATCACATTTCGCTGTCTAAAAGGGGGGCCCCCCATGAATGATTTCATGAGATGCTGTTTTTGAAAGTAAAACGTGCATAACTTTTACATACGACAACCAATTGGTCTCAGATAGGAGTTCTACCCTTCATGGTATTCTAATGAAAGGTTTCCCGTGCGACTCTTTTTCGATATCAGTGAGCGACAGGGCCTGTGTGGGGGGGGGGGGTTAAAAATGGATTTTATCTCTCATTGTATTCTAATTAAAGGTCTCAACGAAAGGAACCGTTTTCTACCAACTACTGTCCTTCTTTTTGTCCTCTTATCAGTACGGGGTTGAGGGGGGAGGAACTAGTTTTATCCTTCATGGTACTCTAATGAAAGGTCTCAACGACAGGAATTAATTTCTACCAACCATAGCCCTTCTCCTTGACCTCTTATCGTGATCGGGTATATTCCCTTATACCTCAAGAACGGATTGTCGGAAGCGCGTACTCACAAAGGGCGATTGAGACGTCTGCAAGAAATATATCCATTGGTGATGTCAAAACAAAAGCTATTTCGGTTAAAAAAATGCGCTTTATCTGCAAGAGTTGTGCACAATTTATACTTGTTTATACATTTCTAGCAATAATTGGTCTCTCATGCTCCGTAAAAACGAACACTGTGGTGATTTGGGTCTTATCTGCTTACACACTCGCTTCTTGTCTGATAGCGCTTCATTCTATTGCATTATAGTTCTGTTCTTTTTCATTATGAAGCGGTACACGCGTAAAATTTCCTATACTGGCAAATTTGTAAATTCGAAACCTGTTACAAGTAGTCGGAAAAAAATTGTAGAGTTGAGAGCAACTGAAACCGAAGAATCCTATGGATCTGAAGAATCCGTAGAGTTAGAAGCAAATTGAAGAGACGAAAGACCATAAAAATCAAAAGAATCTGAAGAATCCATCGGCGAGGGGAAGAATTTAAAGAAACGAAAGTACCCGAGGCTTTTTTGAAATTTCAGTCATCTGATAGACTTAAAATATTTGAATAATGCGGAGGGGATAATCCGAAAAATGTTAAGGATCGAGAAAAGTAGATTTTGAAAAATTGGAAGCATTCGAAGCAATGGAAGAGGACTAAAAAGTTTCGATCATTTACCCTTAGCCTTAACACTTAACAACAAGGTGATCGTGTGTAGATAAAAAGAAGTGCCAGCCAGCATTTGGGCCGGATTCCGACGCCATTTTGTGTGGAACCTGACTCCATTTTAAATTGAGGTGGAGTCTCGGGGCTAACGAGCAATTACTGGGCATTCGGTTCAATTTGAAACAAGGAGCCGTTGCCACACTGACTTCTAGTAAAAAACAAGGTATACACTGACGGCTCCGTCACTTTCTTGAAGTGTCATTTTAAATTTTATACAATCTGTATATGAAGTACGGCGACCATCGCAGGGAAGTAGAGTGCATATTTCAGACACGATGAGTGGGGAATACTATTCAAATGGTGAAGTGGGTGAATGTTCAAATTTTCGTGATGGTACCTAATCGCCCGTTTTTCCATTAATTTGAACCATCCTTACTCATGTTGTTGTAGACTACAATTTGCAAACCAATCGTACTAACCACGCGGACAGGCGCAATTGCGACGGCGATGATGGAACCTGCACCAAGAGGAGTCAGGATTACCAACTACATGGTGAGTAACGTACTTCGGTAAGTATTTGAACTGTAGAAGAGGGTACAGGCATTTATTATTACAGTATGGTTAGATATAGATAGTTTCTCCACGTGCATCAGTCATCTTCGCTTCTATAATGGTCAGGTATCGACCTGGTGCACCAACTAAAAATCTGGTCCGAGAAGGTCTTGTGGGAGTAGTCGGTCAGATACTTCCCCCGCGCCATATTGCCCAGAAACGTCTTAAGCATAGGACTTTCGGCGACTTTTCTTATCACCGTCGCCAGCTTCGTCGCGTCCTGCTCGATGAATATTCCCGAAATTCGGTGCGTGAGGACCGTGCTCGCGAATCCGCAGTCGATCGAGATGATCGCCTTCGCCATACTCATCGCGGCGACTATCGGCCCGGGGTATAGGTCGTTATCGACGAGGTGAATCACGGCGGTGGCGGCCTGGATCAGCGTCTTCTTGTGGACCGTCGGCAGTTGCTTCAGGAACGAGATTTTGGAGGCGAAGGGTTTGCCCTTGGTCGTCTCGGTTAGTTTGTTGTAGTAGTCGGGGGAGCGGTTTCGATAGGAACCCGCTATGACCACGTGCAGTTCTTCCTTCAGGTTGTTGTCGGCGGATATCATCAGCTTGTCGATTGCTTCGAGGATGAGTAGGAAATTGGAACGTTCCATGAATTTGCCGAACGCGACGAAGAGTTTGTAGTTCGTCGGTAGGTCGGGGATTATTCGTCTTACGTCGATGGTGTCCGCATTCCACAGTCCGGTACTGTAGGATGGGGTTAACACCAAAGGTTCAGTAATATCTGGGAACGATCTTTGAAAAACCTCCCGCAGGCACTTGGTTTGGACTATGATCTCATCGGCGTACCTTAGGCTCTTGAGTGTCAGTAAGGGGGGCACGACGCACATGCTCTTGTCATAGTGATCACTACACCTTAAGTGAGGGAAGTGGTAGATGTAGAGGGTTTTGTAATTAGATAAAAGGCTAAGTAGAAGGATAGCAATGGGCTCCAAATCCAATATCACAACACTCGGCTCGGGACTGGGAGGATCAATGAGTAACTTCGAGGTTAGCCAAATCGATCTGAAGACCGCAAACATACGCTTGAATGCCCCACAGACGTTGGACGGTATCCACGTTCCAACCGTGCGGATGTATTTGTCCAAAGGCTACAAATGCACAATGTAGGTCCGATAATCAAAAGGATCTTACTACCGAAGTGGAATCTAAAATATCCCCGTTGCCCGAATCCGTGGTGTAGATCGAAAGAGTTGTCTGTTTCTCGTCGAGCGCCAAAGCGATGTCCACCATGTAACGATCCTCGGGCGTATTACGAAATTTGTCGTGCAAAATTGCCACGTTGCAAACCGGGAGTTCTCGCGCCATAATTATTAAAAAAAGGAACTGACAACAATTTGGACTGTCAAAGTGACAGATAAATCGAAAATAACTATGGTTAGGTCGTTTGTCTACAGGATAGGGCAAAAAGTTGACCAGCATTCAGCAACATCATAACCACATTACGCAGAGGCAGGGAAAATTATCGTAGGCTGTTCTTTTCGGGACTCTCCACAAACGGTCTTCGTTTAAGGCTCCTGGAGCTCTTCTTAGAAGCTCGTAAAGAATCCCACAACGTTCTCGAGCTCTCCACGATTCGCCTTTCAAACAGTCTTAGAGATTAAATGTCTACTAACGGTTCTAAAACCCTCATGGGACCTTTGAAAACTTTTAGGGACTCATAAACTACGTCACGCAGACGTTTTTTCGGGTTCAACTCCCGTAACAATGATGGACTACCTTGGATGTTAATAACATCATTCTTGTTAAATCCGGTGGGTTATTTAGATTAAGCACGGAGTGCATTCGTTTTGTATTGAATTTGAATTTCAGTGTTAATTTTTATTTTGAAATTTATGTATTTAATGATTTTGTGATTGATTAATTTAGATAATGTTAAGTCGTCGTCGTCGTATTATCGCGTTTTATTGAAAGGTTTATCTGGTCAATGCGATAAGAACTTTTGTTATCGCGTTGCGTAAGATAAAAGCTAATTAGTTTCAAGATTAGCGCATGCGATAAGAAAACACAGATGCTTGCAACGAAGACGCGGTTTTCTTGGTGGGGACGTTTGACGTTATTATTTAAAAGCTAGCATTAATCAAATTTGGTTTTGATTGACCGTTTGTTTACGAAATCTTAAAGAAAGAAATTTTTAAGGTGGAAGAGAGGATATCCTTTAAATACGAGGAATTACTGAATAAACTTTTGTCTTTGTCAATCAAGTAGCTGTGTGTTTAATCGAACCCAAAGTACGACCCAGATCAGAGTTTTCATAATTTTTTTCTGTTGGTACCGCAATTTACATAGTTAGTCCCTTGGAATATTGCGAGAGACGGTCAAATTTAGGATAATGCTTAAAGAAGTGTTTGCCATCTCGTCGTATTTGGGCGCGTTTATTAAACAGTTTATCTGGTCAATGCGATAAAGAACTTTTGTTTATCGCGTTGCGAATATGAAAAGCTAATTAGTTTCAAGATTACGCGCATGTGTAAACGCCCAATAAGAAAACACGGTGCTTCCCAACAAAGACGCGCGTTTTTCTTGGTGGGACATTTGACGTTATTATTTAAAAGGTAGCATTTAATCAAATTTGGTTTTGAATGGCCGTTGTTTACGAAATTTAAAGAAAGACATTTTAAAATAATGAGAGGAATTACTGAATAAATGTTTGTCTTTGTCAATCAAGTAGCTACGTGTTTATCCGCAAACCCAAAGTACGACCCAAATCAAAGTTTTTCATAATTTTTCTGTCGGTACCGAATTTACATAGTTTAGCCCTTGGAATTATTGAGAGACGCGTCAAATTAATAGTTTTAAGAAATTTTTGCCGCATCTTTCGTCGTATTTTCGCGTTTTATTAACATTCTATCTGGTCAATGCGATAAGAACTTTTGTTATCGAGTTGCGTAAAGTGAAAACTAATTAGTTTCAAGATTAGCGCATGCGATAATAAAACACAGATGCTTGCAACGAAGACGCGGTTTTCTTGGGTAGAACGTTTGACGTTATATAAAAGCTAGCATTAATCAAATTTGGTTTTGATTGGCCGTTTGTATACGAAATCTTAAAGAAAGAAATTTTTAAAGTGGAAGAGAGGATATCCTTTAAATACGAGAAACTACTGAAGAAGTGTTTGTCTTTGTCAATCAAGTAGCTGTGTGTCTAATCGAACCCAAAGTACGAGCCAGATCAGAGTTTTGATAATTTTTTTCTGTTGGTACCGGAATTTACATAGTTAGTCCCTTGGAAAATTGTAGAGACGGTCAAGGCTGCTGAATTGCGCATCTGAACTAATTTTAACTCAACATTGAACCTTTTGATTATAGCGGATACCGGGCTTAGTGAAGGTACCAGTTTTTGTTTTGCGCCCAACGTGGGGCACATAGCATTTTTATTTGACGCCCAATGTGGAGCACATGGCAATATTTAGAGATTCAGCCCTTAAAAGTTGTTAAATGTTTTTTAAGGCCCTTGAAGATTCTTAAAGATTGTTCTTCAAGGTACATTCCTTCCTTTCATCGAGTTTCGCATTTTTTGATTATTTAATTTAGCTCCATCAGATCCTTCACATTGTTTTCTTAAAATTCTACCGATTCCTCAAATCCTTTAAATTGTTCGTTTTTTCGATCCCTCCTATTCTGCAGTTTTTCGAAGTCCTTCGGTTTTTAAAATGAAATCATACGATTCTTCCTATTCATTTGGTTTCTTCGAATTTTTTAGAGAATTTTAATTTCTTCGAGCATCCTTCAATTTTCTTTCTTCCAGCACCTTTCAATTTTTCCAGCTCTTTAAATTCTTCAGGTTCCTCCGTGAGTTTTTCTGATTTTTTTTTAATTTTTCGTAAGGGTTTTCAGATTCTTAATATTTTTCAAATTCTTTGATTTTTTGATTTCTCTGGAAAATTCTCCAGTAACATAAGATTCTTTAGACTTGGCATAATTTCTCCAATCCTCTCGTTTTATCGAATCCTTCCAATCGTTTCCTTTGGCTTCTTCCGATGCTTTGCATATTTTTGATCTTGCGGACTGGTGAGATCTTGCAAATCCTTAAGTTTCTTTTTAAAAAGCCCCAAAGATTAACAAAAAGACTTAAAAGCTCTTTATGGATTTTTAAGGACTCTTAAATGCTCTTCAGCCTACGTCTCTGAAGGTTTTTAGGGATAAATTCTGATTTTTCTATCTTCTGAGGACCCTGAAGACTTTTTTGATTCTTCTTTTTGAAATCCTTGAAATTCTTATTGTTTTTTGGGTGCTACCGAGTCTTAAGATTCTTAACTTTTTAGTAACGGAAGTTGCTTCGGATTCTTTTCTTATTTTCACATTATCTGCGATTCTTTGAATTCTTCAGTTTCTTCAAATTATTCAAGTTGTTTCGATTCATAAAATTCTTCCGTTTTTTCGAAGCTTTAGCATTTTCTTTATTCACATGATTCTTCCTGTCAGTTCCGTTTCTTCACATTCTTCAGATCCTTAAGGCCTTTAAAGGGTCTTTTAAAGAGAAGCAAGCACCTTAACGATTTTTTCGGCTTAGAAATTGCCTGCAACTTGTAAAGGTTCTTAAAGATCCCGATAAACGATTTTAAAAACCTATTTTGTAAAGGCGCTCTATGGCTCTTCAAAGCGCGTCTGTTGAACATTCCTAAACGCACTAAGGATCTATTGCTGGACTCTCAAAAATCTTCAAAAATTAATAAAAACCTCCAAAGGTTCGGCGCATAAAGGTTCTTAAATTTTTTGAACGTTCTTTAAAACCCTTTAAAGCTCTTAAAGGGTTATAAAAGCTCCTAAAAGTTGGGTTCTTATAGTGAGGAGAAGGTCTTAATTAATCTAAACGTTTCTGAAGTGCTTTTGGTGCTATTGGAAGCCATTGCAGATTATATATGTGACTAAAGCTGTGGAAAACCTTTAAAGGGCCATAAAAACTTTATTTCTTATACACACCTAAAGATATTTAGACCGCATGAAACGAAATTCTTCGCCAAGCCGTCCAGGTGAATATTGTGAATTGTGTACGCCATTTTGGAGACCGCGTAGAATTTCATTATTAATTAAAAGTGCGAACCGAAAGCCGGTCTCGCAGCCGAAAAATTGTGCAACCATTTTTCGAAGAATTTATTGTCCTGCGTTCTTTAGATATTCAGTGGGAGCAAAACAAATAATTAGAGGTGGGTACTTCGCCGCGAACAGTGCGATGAGGGCATTTTCGTTTCGGTGCTCGTATTCAAATAAATTGTTACCACGAAAGGGTTGGGGTCCAAGGTGCAAAACATTGCGTTGCGTATTTTTTGGTGTGGCTGATTACGTTGAAAAACTAGTTTATTAATCAAAGTCGTGCATCTAATTTGTTTATACGATGTGCTCATAACATTATAAATGAAACAGCAACCGATAAAAAGGTTAACGGCC